AATGGGCGGTGACTGCGAAAAGGTGGAGCTTCGATGGGGTGAACCAACATCTAACGCCCTTTAGAGGGAGTTGTGTCTCGTCACTAATATTTCTTCTGCACCAGACATGTGACATTTAAACTTTAAGATTTTAAGAATACAAATCTCCTGTCAGGTCACAAACCAGGTTAAAAGGTTAAAACCAGCATTTCAGAGCCAAACCTGCAGGAGAAGCTGTTCACACTCACTTCAACTTACAGAAAACCACAACAGACCTGTGAGTCTCGTGGCCGCGCTAAAAGAGGAAGTTGGTCTGTCGCGTCACAGTTGTGTTTCAGCCTGAAGCTCAGTCAGTCGGCAGGAAGACACCATGGAGGTCAGAGCTCTCAGCGTCCGACTGTGTGAGTATCAGAGTCTCAGCTTTCTCCGTTTGTTCCTTTAAAGTTTCTCTCATGTCTGGTTTTCTTCTTTTGTCTGTGCAGTGATGCTTGTGTTGGCTTTGCTGGCTTCACATGTCCAGAACAGCAGTGAGTCTCAAACACTTTCCAACATATATTACAAGAATTAAAGTTTTCTCATTTGGTTGAACACCTCCTTGGTGTAACATGAGCTTCTACTGTTTAGTTTCAACTTGTTTGATTTGAAAATTCAGATAAACGCTTTGACTTTTTGACAACTGTGAGAGAATTCATGGCTGCTTCGGTGAAGATCTCCTTCTTTCTGTCCCAGATGCAGCTTTTCGCATTGTTCCGAACAGACTGCAGATCTTTCAGTACGAGCGTCTCACTTTCCACTGCGAGGGTCTCGATGGCTCCAGTCGGCTGAGAGGAATCAGGAGCACCGAGCGATTTCTGTCCGAGTGCAACGACACTGGGACGCCGGCAATGTCTTGCAGCCTTCAAAAAGCCTATCAAGCAGACAGCAGCGAATACTGGTGCGAGACTGAAGGAGGAGACAGAAGCAGCAGCGTCAGTATCACTGTTGCTGGTAGGTCGTGTTTTTGTTGTTTTTTTTCTACGTAAAGTCGCTGCATGAGAGTAAATTTGAGTGCAAATGATCAGAGATGTGTTCCAGCTGGTTCAGTGATCCTGGACAGTCCCGTCCTGCCCGTCACAGAGGGCGACTGTGTGACTTTACGCTGCCGAAGCCAAAAGACGTCTTTTGATGTGGCAGCTGATTTCTACAAAGATGGACTCCTGGTAGGGAGCAGCTCTGCAGGAGAGATGGTCCTCCACAGTGTTTCTGGGTCTGATGAAGGACTCTACAAGTGCAGCATCTCCAGTGTTGGAGAATCACCACAGAGCTGGCTGGCTGTCAGAGGTACAAGTCTGATTTAAACTGCTTAGATTCATGTAGTTCATGTTTTAAATACCTCATGAAGCTCCTCCAGACCAACTGATTCATGCTGTTCATGTCCTGATACATTCTCTTGTTCTTGCAGCTCTTCAATCCTCTGCAGACCATTCGACTCGTATTTATCTCCTCCTGAGGACCGTGTTCACCATCGTGATGGTGGTTCTGCTGCTGCTGCTGGTTGGACTGATTCACTTTGGGAAACTCAGAGTTTCACAGAAATGAACTGATATTCACACATGAAGGTAACTGACTGAGAATCCTGGAAGCAAGTTTGGTCACACGGAAGACTCTAATGAAGATTTAATCTGCTTTATAGTCACTTTTGCTCTTGTTTAAGTTGCTGTCAAGCGAAAGACGTCTTTGTGAGATATATTTATACCTGCAGTTGCTTCTGTTCGACTTTCTCAGAAAAGCTCAGAAACCACAGAGGTCGTGACTGACGCATCAAACTATTTTGAAAGAGCAGACATCAGGTTTATTTCAGTTCTGATGTTCAGCGTCGATTCGAGCTTCTCAAACCACACGAGAAGGTCACGTATGTCTGGTTCAGTCGAAACTACAACGTGTATATGAGGACATGTGACAACAGATCATGACGTTTGTGGTTTAAATGGTCACAGAAGAAGCTTAAACCTGCTGCCGTGTTGCTGCTTCACTGGCTTTGTTCTTTGTGTGTCTCAAAGCAGCAGAAACACTGAAAATATACAATAAATAGAATTCTAATGGATGAGCACTGTCATAAGTTTGTGCCACACAGAGTCTTGATTGTTTTACTGGATCTTGCAGCATATTTAACCTCTTCAAGACTCTCAGTATGACTCATATTAACTCTTTTAATTAGAGGTAAATCAGAAAGCTTTCACTGAAACTTCTGAAATTGGTTAATAAAGGAAATTATGCAGATAAACTCAATAAGACACTGTGGACTCACCACCCACAGAGGGAATCATAGGGGTCGGGTGCTAAGAGGACTGGGTGGCGGTCGAGGGGGGCTGCCTCGACAGCCTGGTCTGCAAACACAGCCTCTGGTTGCCAGGACATGCAATGTCACCTTGATGGGGGAGAAGGAGTCTGAGCTTGTGTGGGAGGTTGAGCGATATCAGCTAGATATAGTCGGTCTCACCTCCACACACAGCCTGGGCTCTGGAACCCAACTCCTGGAGAGAGGCTGGATGCTCCATTTCTCTGGCATTGCCCGCGGTGAGAGGCGGTGGGCTGGAGTGGGCTTGCTCATTGCCCCCCAGCTTAGCTGCCAAGTGTTGGAGTTTACCCCAGTGAATGAGAGGGTCGCGTCCCTACGCCTTCAGGTTGGGGACAGGTCTCTCACTGTTGTCTTGGCCTACGGACCCAACAGCAGTGCTGAGTACCCGGCCTTCTTGGACTTCCCCAACTGGGGACTCCTTTGTTCTAGTGGGGGACTTCAACACCCACGTGGGCAACGACAGTGAGACCTGGAGAGGGGTTGATCGGGAGGAACGGCCTCCCTGATCTGAACCCGAGTGGTGTTCTGTTGTTGGACTTCTGTGCTAGTCACAGTTTGTCACAAACACCATGTTCGAGCACAAGGATGTCCACATGTGCACGTGGTACCAGGACTCCCGAGGCCGGAGGTCGATGATCGACTTTGCAGTTGTATCATCAGACCTCTGGCTACGTGTCTTGGACACTCGGGTAAAGAGAGGGGCAGAGCTGTCCACCGATCACCACCTAGTGGTGAGTTGGATCCGCTGTCAGGGTTACTGTGGAATTTTTTATCGATACTGTAGGAGCCAAATTAAGCTGTTCATGTTATTACTTGTTGTTGGTGTTTGGATGTGAGTGGGAGAGGGAGAGAGTTGTAATGATTGTGTTTAACTCCACCGAGAGGAGGTCGGAGAGTCTAACTCTACCTGACTGAGGAAGTTGGAGGTGGAGCCCACTGGAGAAGGCTTAAGAACAAGCTGCCACCGCATCAGGTGTGGCTGAGGAAGGCAAACAGTTTTCTGACCATGTGGCTGCACAGAGGAACCAGGCCTTCTTAAAGACTTGTGATTTATCACGTTTTTATTTTATTTTGACTTGTAATTCAGCGAAGAAGAAATGCAATAAATGGTCTGTGGGACAGACTGAATGCACTTGGATTCATCATCAGTCATCTGCATGTGTTAAGACTAAAACCAACCCAGCCATCAGTAGTGGTCAAGCAGCAAACTAAAAGGGGTTTGTTGAAACTGCCATTACAGATATTATGACGCTTATGTTGGCAATTTGAGGAAAGATGGAAAATTGTCTTAACAATTTAAGAACAAAAAATGTCTGTCAGCACCAAACATCACAAAATACCTCTTTGTAAACAAGAAAGTACAAATAAAAACACTTTTGGACGTTGATTTTTCTCCAAGCAGTTGAAAATCTAACTGAACATTTGGGTTGAAAGTAAACGTCTATTTATCAGATTTTCTTCTGTTCATTACAGAAAACTCACAAACATTCTAAACTGACAGCGTACATGAGAAAAAAATATAAAATAAAGAATAACAATGAAAAGTCAAAGCAACCAACATCGTTGGAAAAGTCAAGTGAAGTGGTTTCATCTGATAATACTTGAATGATGAGGAGTGCATTACAAATGAAATACAAAAAATAGAACAAAACATACAGAATACAGCTTCGACTGTTTTTCACATTTCAAATGAAACAAAGATTTACGCTCAAACTCACTAGAAGTTTTCATTTCATTGAGTCCACATTGAAGAAGTGATTTAATGTTTAATGATGTTTAAAGTTTGGTGTTTGCTGGATTAAACCACTTTTTCCTGTTCAGGAAGCAGTCTGATGATGTGGACGGAAACTTTATGTTGTTTTCCTGTTGCTGATCAAAGCAGGTTGATCATGAAGCTATAGTTGTTTGAAGTTTCCAGTCTGATTGAAAAGGATGAACTGAAGTTGGTCTCCAGGTCTCAAAGACTTCAGGTCCGTCCATAACAGGTCACCAGTGACAGGATGATGGTTACAATCTGGACCCCATAACTTTAAATACAGTAAATACAAAGATCACAAACCGACAAGTTGAAAATATTGATAAAAAAGCAAAGGAATGAAAAATGTAACATAAATTGCCACATTAAGATGGACTTACAGTGATTTTCCCTTCAGCCTTGGCTTTGAATGACTGATCAAATGTGTAAACGAGCAATTCTTTGTTGTTGATATGAAGTTGTATCTTGCAGCCTCCCAGTAGTTTGTCCTGCAGGAAGGAAATCAGACAGAAGAAGATCTGAAGGTTTATTGTTGATCTCTTTCTTTGTGCAGCTTCCACAGACTCTGATGTTAGAAACAGACATTAAGTTGTTCTGAAGGTCTGTTGGAATATTTCTGGATCCACCTGCTTCATGTATTGTTGAATGTATTGTACATGCTTATATACAGTTGAAACCAGAAGTTTATATCCACTGTATAAAAAGACACATAACCTTTTTTTTTTTTCTCAATGTCTGACATTAAATCAGACTAAACCCTTCCTGTTTTAGTTAGGATTGCCAACATTATTTATATTTGCTAAATGCCAGAATAATGAGAGAGAGAATTTTTTTATTACTTTCTTCAAAGTCAGAAGTTTCCATCCACTAAGATGCCTTCAAACTATTTGGGAAAGCCAAGATGATGATATAATGGCTTTGGAGGCTTTTGATAGTTTTAACTGACAATATTTGAGCTCATTGGAGGCACACCTGTAGATGTGTTTTCAGACACACCTCAAACACACTGCTTCCTTTTGTGACAACATGGAAAATATAAAGAAATCAGCCAAGATAGTAGAAGTATAACCACCATGGGAATGTCCAGCCATCATAGCGCTCAGGAAGGAGACGGTTCTGTGTCCAGAGATGAAGTGTTTTAGTTGAAATGTGCGAATCAACCCCAGAACAGAAGCTAAAGACCTCGTGAAGATGCTGCTGAAGCTGGTCAGAGAGTCATTATCCACAGTGGAACCAGTCCTGTACCGACATGGGCTGGAAGGCTGCTCAGAGAGGAAGAAGACATCACTCCAGAAGAAAATGCACACAGGGACAAAGAGCTTCATTAGTGGAGACATGTCCTGTGGTCTGATGGAACTAAACCTGAACTGTTTGGCCTTAATGACCATCGGTACATCTGGAGGAAAAAGGAGGAAGCTGGAAGCCTGAGAACACCATCCCAGCTGTGGAGCACGGGGGTGGCAGCATCATGCTGTGGAGGGACTGGTGACCTTCACACAATAGATGGCATCATGAGGACAGAACATGATGTGGAGATATTGAAGCAACATCTCCAGACATCAGCAGGAAGTTACAGCTTGGACACTAATGGGTCTTCAGATGGACAATGACCCTCAGCATAGCACCAGATTAGCTACAGAGAGGCTTCAGGACAACAGAGTCAGTGTTGTGGAGTGGTCATCACAAAGCCCTGATCTCCATCCTGGAGAACATTCGTGGAGCATGGAGACCAACAAACCTGACTCAGGTCCACCAGTTCTGTCAGGAGGAATGGGCCAGAACTCATCAGACTGTTGTGAGAAGCTTGTGGAAGGAAACCCAGAATGTTTGACCCAAGTCATAGAGTTTAAAGGCAACACTGCCAAATACTGAAGAGATGGATGGAAACTTCTGACTTTGAAAAGAAAATCATAAAAATTCTCTAAAAAATTGCCTCACTCATTATTCTGGTGTTTTGCAAATGGAAATAATTTTGGTAATCCTAACTGACCTAAAACAGGAAAAATTTGGTATCATTTAATGTCAGACAGTGAGAAAAAGAAAGGTTATGTGTCTTTTTATACAGTGCATGTAAACATCTGGTTTCAGCTGGATACATTCCAGCGTTTATCCATTCAAACATCATTACCTCAGTGGATGTGTTTTTAAGACGGACATAATGACCCTTATGGTGAACTTCATCTAAAACAATGTCTCCTAAATCACTGGGATGATCTTTGAACTTCATCTGAGAATTCTGATGATCCAGTTCTTCAGATTCACTTCCATCCAGCTGAGAAAGAGACAAACACACAAAGATCAGTCATTCAAGTCTGATCAGCTACGAGCTGCTTGAATCTCTGAGTTTGTGTTTGTGAGGACAGAAGAAAGTTGAGCTTTAACACAAGAAGTGTCAGAAAACCAGAACTAATGAGAGAAAACCTCTCAGGTCTTCTGGAGCTCCTGCCTCGGTTGGTCCTAGTTTATTGGTGACACAAGAGGAACTGACACAGTAGAAGGTAAAAGTTGATCTGACTGTGTAAAGGTAGGATTTAATCATAAAAGTGGATTTAAGCTGAATAAAGTGAACCTTGGTCTCCTGCTGCTTCTTCAGAGTCTCCACTTCTTTCTCAGTTTTCTCCTTTTTTGTTGTTTCCTCCTGAAGCTTTCCGTCCAACTGAGAGGAAGAAACAGTAAAAAAGAGACAAAACAAGAGAGATGTAGTTTTATTTAGTGATGAAAACAACCAGCGTTTGACTGAACTGATCAACATGGAATCAGGAAAGAAGCGTTCACGTCCAGTTTCAGATATTTGGTGTCTCAGACTTGATCTGGTTTTAGTTTGATGTCAACAAACCAACAACATGTGGATCATGTGGAGCAGAAAACAACAAAAAGGTAAAAAGGTTGTTTTGAGTGAATGTATGAACCTCTTTCTCAGATTTCTCTGCCTTCTGCTTCTCCTTCCAGATATAATGCTCCAACTGTAGGAAGAAGAGATGAACAGAAAC